TATATCAATTTCTTTCTTCCTGTATTATCTGCCTCTGTAGACAAAAATAGAGAAAAGGATAAACTTGAAAAGAAAGATCAACAATAAAGTTCATATTCATTATGCCGAAACCCGTTGTTTTAAAATATAAAACAGACTCAACATAAAACGATCAGGAAATACATCATGATTGTGTTTGATTAGAAAATTACAGACTGGTTAACCTAGTGAGGTTTGATTAGCATCATGGTCTCCCTTACTGAGGATCCGTACTCTACTATAGGTTTCCATGGAGCGGCCCACATTGCCGGGGGCCAGGGACCGTAAAGGAAGGCGAGGTGACAGTATTTAAACCACCAGCCTCCTTCATTAGCAGCGACACAGTTATGACCAGTAGCTCCGTCGTTATCTCTCTCTGGGGTGGAGAAGTACATCCCTGACAGATCTCTCGAAGACTTCCCGGTGTCTAACATAGCGTCTCCTGTAGAAATAAAGGTAATACCTGGATTATATCAATAAACATGATGTAATCTCTCTTTTCTTTTCGTTATGATTCTTTTTCTTTAAATTGACTATATCGGTCTGAAAACAAGACAGGTTTACTAAATTATTCAAAATTTTACAGAGTCAAATAAACTTGGAATTATAACTTGTATTCCAAAATCAGGAAAACCAAAACAGTTTTTAAAAAACTGGCGGCCAATTAGTCTACTAAATGTTGTTTATAAAATAGCTTCAGGTTGTATTGCTGAACGAATGAAAACAAAATTAGATAAATAAATCAATAGAGATCAAACTGGATTTATAAAAGGAAGATTCATAGGGGAGAATATTAGATTAATATACGATTTGATGCATTATACAGAATTAAACCAAGTACCTGGTTTACTAATGCTTATAGACTTTGAAAAAGCATTTGATACAATTTCATGGAAATTTATATATCAAACATTGGACTTTTTCAACTTTGGGCCCTCCATTAAAAAATGGATTGAGACAGTGGTATTAAATCATGTGTAATACAAAATGGTATTATCTCAGACTATATATTTCCTCAAAGAGGCTGTAGACAGGGCGACCCAATTTCACCATATCTCTTTTTGTTATGTGCAGAAATACTTGGAATTCTTATTCGAAATAATAAAGACATTAAAGGCATAACAATCGAAGGCGAAGAATATAAACTTTCACAATATGCTGATGATACATCCCTTATTTCAGATGGCTCACCTACCTCAATGGATGGTATTCTAAGAGAACTCGATTATTTTGCAAATATTTCCGGTTTAAAAATTAACTTCTTAAGAACAAAAATGGTTTGGATTGGAAGTAAGAAATATTCCAAGGAAGTTTTTCACCATTCTCGATGGAAGCTTGATTGGGATAATTCAAACTTTGATTTGCTAGGAATAAAATTTTCAGTTAATCTGGAGGAAATGCTTGAATTAAATTACATGTCAAAATTAAATGATATTAAAAAACTCCTATGTAGTTGGAGTATGAGGAAACTTACCCCAATTGGTAGATTAACAGTAATTAAAACTCTTATAATACCAAAACTAAATCATCTGATTCTTACACTACCAAATCCTAAACCTGAATTTCTAAAAATGTTTGAGACAGAGTTGTTTCTTTTTTTATGGAATAGTAAAATACATAAAATAAAGAAAAATGTTATAATTCAGGACTATAAATATGGAGGGCTGAAAATGGTAGATTACACAGAATTTATTTCTGCACTTAAATCAAGTTGGGTTAGAAGATTCATTCATTCAGATGCAAAATGGGTAAAGTTGTTTAAAGCTGAACTAAAAACAGACATTGAAAACATGTGGATAAGGGGCTCGGATTACATTTTTAACTTAACAAAGAATTTAACAAACAATTTTTGGAAAGATGTCCTTAATTCCTGGGTAAGACTTATAAATATAAACCAAGAAAACAAACATGTGTTATTAGAACATATATGGAATAACCCACATATAGTGATTAATGGAAAATCTTTTTTCTGGAAAAGCTATTTTGAGGAAGGCTTTGTCTTTTTAAATGACCTTTTTGATAATGATGGTAACTTTTTAAGCTTCGATACCATAGTAAACTTGAAAGTGAAAACAAATTTTGTTGAATATAATGGTCTTAAGAGGGCTATATTAAAAAGACTGAAGTATGCAGGAATAGAGGACATAAAAAGATTAAAGGTTATTGGACCAAATATTCCACATTCAACTTTCATTTTTTATAGAAGTAATAAAGGGTGTAAAGATATGTATAAAATATTTATAAATAACAAGAGAGAGCCAATCAGTTCTCTTTTAAAATGGAATGAAAATAATGTTTTCTTTGATGAAGCAGATTGGAATAAAATATTTGAAATTCCTTTCAAAGTTACTCAGGAATCCAAATTTCATTGGCTCCAATTTCAAATATTACACAGAATTATTCCAACAAATTATTATCTTTTTAAATTGAAGCTGATTGACTCACCAGCTTGCACTTTTTGTTTAAGTGACTTGGAAACAATTGACCACTTGTTTGTAGAATGTTTCAAAGTAAAAGATTTATGGTGTAGGATTGAAGAATGGGTTTTGGACAAATTTGAGATGCATTGTAGTTTTGATAAAATGTCAATACTTTTTGGTAAATACGAGAACAGGAATATTTGTAAAGTACAAAACTTGATTATACTTACTGTAAAACAATTTATTTTTGCAAGTAAATATAAAAGTATTCCAAAACTAAATATCGACATCCTAATAAAGAGGATTATAGAGAGAATTTTTATAGAAAAGGTGTTGTTATTACAAAGTTGCAAATATATGGAATATGAAAGGCACTGGCAAAAAATCTGTGATGTTCTTTGAAAAAAAATCATTTGTTTTTATGGTAAAACGTTATTATATGCTATTTTTAAGGATTTACATTAGCTAATGCATTTTTCTACGACTGCTGACCCCCCCCCCCCCATTTTTTTTTCTTTTTTTTAATAAAATAAAATAACTTTCACGTATACAAGTAAACTTTGTACTGCTGTAAACTAATGAAATCATCAAGACAATTACCGTGTATATGTGTTTATATGTTTTGCTTATATATATATGTATAGTCTGGTTTGTGTACTTGTGAAAGTCAATAAAAAAAAAAAAATATTCAAAATTCAACGAATACGAATGACCAATATAAAAATATCTTATAATATCATATATTTTATCTATGCTTTGATGTTTATCAGTCAAACTACACCACATTGGACTTTTAATAAATAATAAAAATAAAAAGGAGTCTCGAAAAAAAATGATAAAAAAATAGATCGTTATATTTAAAAAATATAGATAAATTGCCGATAAGTAGTAAAAAAAAGAATGAAACCAAAATTTAACAAATCATTATTTTTATAAACTATGTCAAATAAAGAAAGAATATCTTAAAATTAATTACATTGTTGATATCAAAATCATTTTACTGGCGGTTGCATGAACTTTAAATACAAAAAAAACCCCAACTTTTCTTTTAAACGCTTATACTCTCTCTCTCTCTCTCTCTCTCTCTCTCTCTCTCTCTCTCTCTCTCTCTCTCTCTCTCTCTCTCTCTCAGTAATATTATTTATCAACAACTAACCTAAGGTCCCGGTAGCTGGTCCGCCAAGAAAAAGTTTGTATTTGTCCGATTCATCGCTAATAGCAAACTGTTGGTAGAGTTCATACAGAGTTGTCCATTTCTTAATGTGATGGAGACGGATAGTGATGAGTTCCTTCCCTTTGTCAACTGCTGAATAACGTCGTTTCCTACAATACGCAATATGTAACGTTAGAAATAAATTAAAATTTCAGGAGTATAACATACGTTTTAAATAAAAATAAATGAGGATTTCAAGAATGTCAGACTTTAATAAAAATTTGTAGTTGCCCCATACCCTAAACAAATGTTATTTTTAACTGTACGATTTAAATAAGTTAACATCAGATTTGTGTTATTTTTACTGCACCAGTAGTGATAGTGTTATCAAACTGGATTTGAAAAATTATATTTTCATGGTACATACCCTGAATTCATCATGCTATTGTAGAATGACAGATTAACATAAGTACTAATCAATCCAGTAGGAGTCGTTAGGACTCCCGAACCCAGTTTTGTACTCCGCCCACGTTCTGTTGAATATCACAGATCCGCCCACACGTCTCTGAATTGCCTTTGGGTTGAAAAAAGAAATAAATGCTTCATTTACGGTTTTGTTTGTTTCTTAGTATATATGTATTTTATTTCTACTGATTAGCCCGCATGTTACATGTACAAATGTAATTTCAAATAAAATTAAAATAGACAAAGGTAATAAAAGAGAGATATCGAAAGAAATCTTACTGTCCACCCACCGCCCTCGGTTTCCATGTCACAATACACGCTGACTTGCGTCTGGTTTTCAAACGATGAATTTCATAGACACCGGATTGTGTTTTTCCCTCTATATAGTGGTCTTGGCAATCCTTATTATGTTCCCCAAACGAAGTTGGAAATATTGTTTTTACTCTGTTTCTTATTATTAAGGTCTTCCGGCTTCCTTCGGAAGACCTTATTGTTTTCCTTCTGTTTTTATTATTATTATTCCACTTTTCATAGTACAGGTCATATCTCAGCTGTGCGTGGACGAATTTCAAGGATTTTTTCAGGGATGATGCATCTTGTCAATATCTCCAGGGGTATTCCTCACTTTTTCGAAATTTTTCTCCGTTCGCGATTTTTGGGGAAATTTGTATTTTTTAAATGGAATTTTGTCGCAAAAAATTCTCGAGAACGGCAAAAGATATGAAAGTGAAACTCATTGAGGTGATAGAACATCTATTGTAGATGTGTTGATCGACCTTCATTTTTCGTCGTTTTGACTTCCGGTCGCAAACGGAAGTGAATTCAAAAAGTCCAAATTTTCAACTTTTTTTGTTTTTCAATATTTTTCTTTAGTATTCATAGGGTTGATAGAATATCTTTTAAGAATTCTAAATATGTTTTCTATATTTCCATGCGTGCATTCGTTGCAAAGATATGACCGATCCAAATTTTGTCACACTGTCAGGGGTTCGAATCCCGCTGTGGGCGTTGCAATTCTTTTTCTTTGTTTCTGTCTTTTCTCAGTTGCATTTGACTTTTCTCCCTTTTTTAACATGTATGGAAGATTTTGACGATTTTTAAAAGCTTTATTTTAAAGATATTTTGTGGAATAATGTAATACTCATGATCTATGCCGAAAGACCGCTGTAAATAAAAGTAAACCAAGAAAATGCATTCTGAAATCTATTCCATGGATGACACTACATAGAACTCTAACGAAAAGTCGGTCGGAAGACCGTTTTTTGCTTAGCAACAAGAATGCATCTAGTTATGTTCCCCAAACAAAGTTTGAAGATGAAGTGTTGTTTACCTAGTGGCGTTTTATAAACATCATTGTTTCCCTGATCAGTAAGATGAAGAGTTGTTTACCTAGTGGCGTTTAATTAACATCATCGTTCCCCTGATCAGTAAGATGAAGTGTAGTTTACCTAGTGGAGTTTTATAAACATCATTGTTCCCCTGATCAGTAAGATGAAGTGTTGTTTACTTAATGGCGTTTTGTAAACATCATTGTTCCCCTGATCAGTAAGATGAAGAGTTGTTTACCTAGTGGCGTTTAATTACATCATTGTTCCCCTGATCAGTAAGATGAAGTGTCCGCCCGTCTAGCTCTCCCTATCCTTTCGTCCCCCGCTCGTCTGCCTGTTTATCCGTCCGTCTAGCTCTTCCTCTCCTTTGTCCCCCGCCTGTCTGCCTGTTTATCCGTCCGTCTAGCTCTCCCTCTCCTTTCGTCCCCCGCCTGTCGGCCTGTTTATCCGTCCGTCTAGCTCTCCCTCTCTTTGTCCCCCACCTGTCGGCCTGTTTATCAGTCCGTCTAGCTGTCACTTTCCTTTCGCCCCCCGCCTGTCGGCCTGTTTATCCGTCCGTCTAGCTCTCCCTCTCCTTTGTCCCCGCCGTTCGCTCGTTCATCCGTCCGTTTAGCTGTCCACTCTTTCTGTTCAACTTTGTTTTCTGCATTTTTCCCTCCTACATGTAAACCCTTGCAGATTTTGATCAGATTTTTATGTATGTAAGTTGCTGATCAAGTTTTCATTTGTAACGCTCCAATGATCCCATCATTTTTCTAATCACTTGCAGATATTGAGTTATTTCTAGTGTATGTTGCTTGACCTTAATGAGTTATAAAGTTAAAGATATATTTTTATTTTCGATCCAC